ATGTCGCGGCCAATTTTTGATCCAACAATACGAATGGAGACAACTGGAAGAAAAGCCAGGGGGATCTACCGCCCATGACGTTCATCGGGTCCCCACCAGGCACATGCAGTGCCACTGCCTAGAGTGCACGGTAGATGAAAACACACGTGTCCTTGTGGAGGCTGAAGAGCCGGCAGATAACGAAGGAATGGAAACAGGACGCACTTTTACCTTATCGCAAAAAGGAGCGTGTTCCCCGTCCCCGCACTTGGCTGCCGGACCTCCCTCATTTCCTATCGCCCCAAGCGTTCACCAAACGGCCTATTACCCACAATTGGCCATGCTTCCCGCGTTATCAGGACGTCGCTCCACTCAACCTCCACCCAGAGAGCGCCTGGCGAGTGAACAGCCCATAGACCACGGACAGTAGAAGTAGGTTCAAAGTCGGCTAGGAGCCGGGCGCGCGCTACCACCCCGCGAAATAGACTTCACGTGCCAGCCTGGATGGGACGCCACAGCCCCGAAGCCAGATGAGCCAGATGGTGAAAATTATATCGTCAGGCTATCGCCAACACAAGCGCGCAATCAGGAAGCTCGGAAAAAACGTCAGCGAGAAATGACCTGGACTCGCGCGTCGAGCTCCTTTTTACGACTGGAGCATGTGCACTGCACTGCACCCCGCGTAGGGAAGGACGGTCAGCGACCGTGATGTCATACTTCAGGGGTTGGTTCGGACCGCGCGGCTGCCGCGAGGCGCCGCGGGGGGCGGCCCGGAGGTGTGAAGAAATACGAGCAGCGGGATTACGGCGCAAAAGCGGCAGCGAGCAGCGGGCCCGAGCTGGCACCGCTTCCGATTGGAGACAAATTAGAAAAAAGTAGAGCTTAAAAAAGATTTCTATACAGTATTGGAAGCCACTCCCGGGCCCGGCCCAGGTACGCCAGCTTGCCAAAGGGTCAAATATCATCACACGCCGCTCATTAGCATAATTACTGTAATTAGGGAAAGCTATCCGAGGCCTTTGTGTGCGACAAACAACGACGCGCCGGCCGAGGTGTCGTTTTTGCGTCGAAGACGTCCCATACGTTAGTTATTAAGGTACACAATCATATTTGGACCCGCCACTTTTTTGCCCAGGAGCTCGCGGTGAGAAAATAGTTTGCGTAGTCTTGAAGAACATGTCGCGGTGGGGGCCTGCTCGCGGTCCCCCTGAATCGTAAGGCAAGAAGTGTCTCCAGACTCCATATACTATTCTCTTTTTACGAAACCGGAGGTCTGGCCCCGTGAATCACTACAAAATGCCTTCAATGACATCTAAAATGTGCAAGTGGCATGCACTTGCAAGTGTCCAACACTATGTTGCACATCTTTTATCTGTTTCACTCGATAATTGAGTAATTACGAATGTTAGACTAGATATTTAAACAGTTCACATCGTACAATGTTGCATAATCAGACACTTTCAAGCTTTCAAACCTGCTGTTGAACACTTCGAAATATTCAAAAATGAAATCAAATGGATAACAGCTCGCAAAACAGTGTGCTTTGGATGTTCACTCAGTTGCACACTTTTTACATCAGTGAATTGCCGTCCCAAATGTAAGATTCCGAACTCACCAGACGACAGATCACTCCATGTCTCTATACCCGCTTCAAAGGTGGGACCAAAGGTTAAGAAGTTCGTGAAACACAACTCTCCGTTCATTTCGTTTCCTTCAATACCTAAGGCTGCATCAAGGACGGGATAGGGACACAAGGTAGAAACTAAGTCTTATGGCCTAGAGGCAAAAAGAACGCTGAGCTAAACCCGGGCTATGATGAGCAGGGTGGACAGCTGTTCCATCTCTGTCACTCCACTTCCCTGTTTGGCCGGCCGGTGCCGAGGCCAGTGCGGTGACGAGGTGTAACATGTCCTTTTGTTTTGGCGGAGGCACGGTGACGCGTTGCGCGGCGGCCCGCGGCCACCCCGGTGACCCGCGCAGCCCTCGCCCGCTCGGGGTAAAAGGGTTCGGGGTGTCATTTTTCATTTTTGGAACTTGTTCCGTCCACTCGAAGGGAGGACAGCGGCCGCACATGGCGTTGTCCGGTACGCCGGGTGACCAGTACAGCCATAATTCAATCTTTCTACAAAAGACGTCTTTATTTCTTTCGCCGATAATGTGAAGGGCCATGCGATTGTTTGGATAAACTTTTATAACTTATTCAGGCCAGAGCAGTAAGTGGGCCACGAACCTAGGAGATGTGCAGACGCGCGCGGGAATGTCCACACTGTTTAGGGGCGAATTATGAAAATTTTCCGGTGAAACGGGCTCTGCTCGGCTCCTCGCATTTGAGAGCGAACCGAAGGGGGCAAAAACTAAACCCAGCCCGGGGAAATGCCATCCACTCCACTAGTTTGGAGCCAGTTCAAAGACGCACCACCACGGGCATTCAGCCAGTGCGGCGGCCGGGGTTTTTGATTAACTGAACTAGCATTTCGGCAATTTGCTGCAAACTCGTCATAAAGTGTACTGTACATATGACGGTAAAAGTTACTGCTTCGTTTCCAAGCAGTCACTTTTACTCATTTTCCAAAACGTTGTTGTTGGAAAACAAAATTTCCAGTACTTTTTCTTTGAAATTTACTAGTAATTATGGAAAGCAAAAAAGAAACTATTTAATACAAGAACTAAGCTTAATACCAACAAAAATGACAATTTACAAATATATTTCGAAATGTATTCAAAAGTTGTAGAGAATTTTCTGAGAGGTTTAGATATTGTGTTGGCAAGCTGTATAGATTTTAAATTTTCTGAACTCGTTCGGGGTACAATTTTTCCATTAAATTGTTTAGTAATTTCTAACTAAAGTTTTTACAGTGCCCGAATGCCTCTTTTTACAAAAATGAATAACCTTACCCGCTACCATCCTACGCTATACGATGGCAGAAAGATGACCGTTTTTGCAAGCAGTAATTGGGCACCCGTCTGACCAGCTTCAAATCTCTTTTGTCTAGCCTTCGCAACGTCCGGCTGTCCGGGTCCGGCGATGACCAACTGTGAAAAGAAACAGAAATAAAATAAAAAGAATACCTTTCCATATCGCTAAAGGGTCATTTTTAATCCCAAAACAAAACACACAGTCACAGAAGTCGAGGCATGCGTTTTCTCTAATCCTTGCGCACAACAACCGAATGGAAGGTACATATAAAAAATATGATGAAGCAAAACTGGACACTGGTCAGTGCAGCCGAGATCCGTAATAGATGCAGCTGAAAGCGATCTCGTATAATTGCCGCGCCAGCCTCCGTCCCCCCCTACCTGGCGTCGTGGCGAGGTGAGGCGGGGCGAGGCGAAGGGGCTTCACTCATTACGTTTATAAACACCACAACTCGAAACGCGAGCACAATGGTCCCGATTTTTTGGAGAGGAGGGTGGTTCGTTGGGTGCAAGGAGGGGTGGGCCAAACAGGTTGGCACGCCCGTGCGCCGGCTGCTGTTCACCCGCCATGTGTGGCGGGGGCGGCTCAGGAGACAATTACTGATGATGGGTGTCGCGCGTGTCCCCGCCGTCAAGCTGCCGCACGAGCCCAACATTTTAACATTTTTATCAAGAAAATTTTAAAATTGAACTACAAATATTTACTCACATTAACTTCAAACAGATGACGTAACGGGCGCGACCAGTCGCATCAACCACGCCCCCATACATCACCTTTAGCCCCTCTGAGAGATGAATACGGGGGCCACCCCCTACGTGATTGTTTGGGGCTTCCAAATTACAAATTGTGCATACTTTTGAACAAACTGTAAATAGTTGTGGATAAAAATGAGCATAGAATTCTGCATGATAATGCTTAACACAATGCATAAGGATTTAGTGTGTTGATTTTACAGTGACCTGAATTGAACGTCTTCGGCTGGATCAAAAACCTTGGTTTAGCAGAGGTCTCGAAACTAGTCAATTCAAGAGTTTCTTCCAGTGCTTTCAATCAATCCGTAGAAAAGGTGTTGCAGAGCGACTGTTTCAAAAGCAGATGGAAGATCCCTGAGTAAAAAATTGAATCATCTGCCGCGCTAAGCGATTTTCGGTTTGAGCGTCTGCCCGGTCACTCCGACCCCCTAGTCTGCCCCGACCTGCTTCCGATTTTCCTCGGATGTCACTTCTTTTATCGGGCGCCTTCCACTTGGCCGCCCCCTTTCCTCTGATGCCGCGACGGTCGGGGTCTGAACCGGACCGATTAGAGAGTAAAAGAGTTGTCACCATCGATACACTGACGGTCCATTGTATTGTTTCAGGATCGCGCAGGATGAGCTTCAGTAGTGCTCACGTGCAAGTTAAAATACAAGGGAGGGAGCTGAAAGTGTTTGCTGCCGCACGCCCTCCTGTAAATACGTAGTTGGACATCACATCCACCACGCGGTGCTGCTAAAGCTCAAACTCTTCTCAAAGCAGTACCATTTTAGTGCCTTGACAACAAAACTCCGGAGATTCATACCACCATGAGTTCATTACCTATGTGCTTTCAATAAATTTACCAACACTCTTTTAAACGCCGCGTTCGCCTAGCAGTCTTTTGGAGACTGCAAATGTTTGGTCTCTTATTGCCGGCCGAAATTTGTCAATCAGTGCCGAAATTTTCGCAAGCGAGGCGACTCTGGCGTTTAGAGTGAAGACGCACCGGTTTACTCTAAAACTAACTGTACCATCGACAGGAGGTGCAGCGGCTTCTGTAACAGGACTGCAGCTGCAGCAGCTCCAGTCCTCCTTCCGCTCGACTGACGCCGGATTAATCCTTTCCCTTCCGATCTGTTGGCGCTCCTGCGCGCGGTATTGTCTTGGTGGGTCGCGGCCGCTCTGCGCCGCTCCCCCAGACCAGGTCAATCCGATGCGCCCCCGGCCCGGCCGCGACGCGACGACGCTGCGCAGGCCTCGCCGCAGCGGCGGCCATTCGATGCGCTTGTCGCGGACTCTGTTGACTCACTCTGACGGGGGCGGTCCCCGGCGTCGGATTTTGGAACCTTTCGGAGCCAGTCATACGCGTTTACCCCGGGTTGAGTAGTTCACGGAAAAAAGGGGGAAGACCAACAAAACTCGTCCACGCCCGCTTTATACTTTATTGTGGAAATTTCTCTGATACAATTCGGGATCCTTTCCTTACCTCAAAACGAGGGCTTACAAAGTAACGGACGGTTGAAAACGCGTGAGAATATCTTTACGAAAGGAATAAAAGAAGAGTTGCTGATGTCTTTGGCAAGTGAGCTTGATCAGTTACAACTCGAAAAAACGCATGGTTTGGGGAAAAATGGAAAACCTTCAGGAAATCTTTCAGTTTGAGGAAAACTCCACAGATTTTAGGGAAGTCTGTTCAAAAAATGAGGACAATTCCCACATTTTTTTAAGAAGGGTTCCTCAAACTAAAAGAGTCGTTCCTTAAAGTTTACCCGTTTTCCTATAAGATTTAGACAGCGTTTTTACTCTTGCACCCAGAAGACCGTTTAGTCCATATAACCAAATTCAAAACCGACGAAATTTTAGCTCTTGGGACTAAAATTTTATTCGTGGCGATGAAATAATTTGGTCTAGATGACTTGATTTGATTGGTGCGACTATATTTAGTTAAAAATAGGGTTACTAAATTTTAGTCGGTTTTAGGAACTAAATTTTGGTTCTTACAACCCTGATTTAGTTGTATCAACTAAATGGTTCTCTGGGTGT